GGTGTGGGGACGATGGCGGCGGCGGGGAGCGGCGCCTCCGGGAGCGGAATGGCGCAGAAGACGGGGGAGTTGGCCAACAACATGCAGGAGGCGCAGAGCATCGACGAGATCTACAAGTACGACCGCAAGCAGCAGCAGGAGATCCTGGCGGCCAAGCCCTGGACCAAAGAGTGAGTGAGAGCGGGGCCGGGCCGGGCGGCGGGGCCGGAGAGGCGGGCGGGGGGGGGGGGGGCGGAGCGGGGGCCGGGCTGGGCCGCCGCGGCGGGCGAGCAGCCACCATTATTTCAAGTACTGCAAGATCTCGGCGCTGGCGCTCCTGAAGATGGTGATGCACGCCAGGTCAGGGGGCAACTTGGAGGTGATGGGGCTCATGCTGGGCAAGGTGGACGGGGAAACCATGATCATCATGGACAGCTTCGCCCTGCCGGTGGAGGGCACCGAGACTCGCGTCAACGCTCAGGCGGCCGCCTACGAGTACATGGCTGCCTACATTGAAAACGCAAAGCAGGTAAGGAGAAGCAGCAGAGGGTGTTTCTCTCCTTCCGTGGTGTGGCTGCGGATCTTGTAAGCTAATCGCGCAGGAACATGTTCTGGGGTTTGCAGGCTTCCCCGCCTTCCCCCCCCCCCCCCCCCGACTCTTTGTCCGGTTGCCCTGTTTCTTCTCAAACGTGGCTAAGAGAACTGCGTCAGCAGCAAAGAACACAGACCCCTTTAAACGTTTTCACGTATATATTTCCATGTGTTACAGTAGGTCATCAAGTACTGGATTCTCCCTTTACAAATGATTTTCATTGCTCAGGAAGTGTTTTTGTGGCTGCAGCTGGTGGCTTGTGGATGGAACAAGGAGGGGGTGTGTTTCTAAAATAACTGATATAATACGTGTTCCTAAAAACATGTTTCTAGAAACAGTATGCTAAATTAAATATAAAATATGTATGTGTCAGAGATACTTACTATTTGTAGATCAGGAATATGATGTTTATTCTTACCTTCTTGCTTTTTGAAGTCTTACTGCATAGCCATGCTGCTGTTTTCCATAAAAATAAAGACATTTGTGAAGAAAATGCCAATGAAGGAATAAGTAAGTTTCCGTGCAACCTCATTATTCGTACTTATAATTTGGAAATTTTGATGAACTGACTCAGATGTCTCTTCCTCCTCTTCATCACCCTGTATTTAGAGATCCATGTCATATTAAGCCTGACTACGCAGTAAAATTCTCACATGCAGAAGGATAACAGAAATATGAATCTGCTTTGTGGCTGATGTAGAAACCAGCACAGCACATCAAAGCACCTGCTGACATGCTTCTTCCAATACAGGGCAATCCTATGCTATGAATGAGCATTGAAATAACTCTAACTCTCCAAGTTCAAATAGTTTTGAGGCCCATTTTACCCTGTGATTTTTCTTTAATCCTCAAAGTATTTTAAACGAGCTAAAATTAGAAGCTCCTTACTTATTCACTGGAGATAACAGAGAAGTATTTGGGTTATTGTGGAGAGTTTTACTTATATTCACAGCCTTACATAGAGTTAGAGATATTTAAATAGATGTGAATTAGGCTGGATCATAACATCAGAAAAGAGTAAACATAATCCAGATGTAGGTATATTCTGGGGCTTTTTTTAATAATTAATCTCTGTTTATGAGAAAATTTAGAAATAATTTATTTAATCTAGTTCCTTTTATCTGGAAGCTATTAATGTCATGATACTAATGCTGTTGTTGCAGAAAAGTAGGTAACTTGAAAAGATGTCTTTACCTAAAGACATATTCATACTATCCAGTTCTTAGGTAGAAATAATGGGTTTCAAAATAGTAAGTATATAGCATAAAATTAGTGTTTTTTAAATACGGTTAGTTTGTCTTATGTTTAAAACAGTCCAGGTTTGTGTAAGGAGTACTCATATGATAGGAAACATTTTTTTCTGGTTGTTTATATTGTACAGTTTTGTCTATAGTCCGTTTCACAATTTTGAAATTGAACTTGTGTGCAAATATAATAACTCAGCTTTACTGGTGCTCTGGCAGAGTTTGCATGCTGGCTGTTCCACATTCGATTTTGGCAAGCAGTTGTTCCTAGAATAACTCTCTTTAATATTAGATTGCAAATTGATACGTTCCCCTGCATAAGTACTTCACAGATGCCAATGTTCCAGTTATTTGCTTCTCCATGGGCAGGATGTGGTGCTAACACAGTCAAAATGTGTTATTTGGCTTTGAAAAATAACACACTTTCTTTAGTGTTTTGTTGGTCTCTCCTTCTCTACTATGGGAGATGTACAGAAAATATAAATATTATTCACCAATTCAAAAATAAAATAAATGTTCCATTCAGTAGGCAGTTTGTCTGTTCTGTCTCATCTTAACATTTTTCTGATTTAACCTTCCTGACATACTCAGTATTTGGCAAAACCAAGCAGGTGATGCATCCAAACACACAACTCTCAGTTAAGAATGGCATATAGGGTCGTACCAAAATTATTCAACTCAGTGTGGAGCAGCCAGTAAGCAATTCCTGAGAGAGGATTACAGAATTAGGTCCAGTGGTGGGTGTTTGTTCTCCTGGGGTTTTTTTATGTATGTTTGTTTGTTTGTTTTTCTTCCCGTATTTGTAGAGATAGCCAGGGGAATTATTTGGAAACTCCTATTTTGAGTTTTTCTGATCCTAAAAATCTCAAAAATTCATCTTTTGGCTTTCACAGCATGCTCTGGCAATGATTTCTGTCACTCTGGTGTTCGAAAACATGCCGCTTTGAAGTTATTTTTTAAACCTAGCAACAATCTCTCTATATGCCTCTGAGATGCGTTACTGTACTAAATAATGAACATTCATTCTCTACTGACATACCACACATTATATGAGACTAGATATACTTATGTCATATCCACCCTAAGAAATTTCTCTTCCGTGCTGAAGAGTCCTAGCTTGCTTACCATCTCACCACGTGGAATCTCTTCTGTACTTCAGCTGTCATTGAAGAAGGAGCTCCCGGCTCCTTGAAGTTCTTTGTTCTGTGGTAGTAACTGTAACAGAGAATGCTAATACTAGAGATTTTATGGTTTCTAGGAAATATTTTACCAAAATAAGGTGTATGTTTAGTATCTAGTTTAGTATTAGTAAGTTAGCATCGCGGGCTGTGTGTGTATTCTTTATGCTCTCACCGCGTTGTAGTATGCTGGAAGGCCCAATAGAGGGCAGCTGGTACTTTTGGAATGGAGGTTAACACTGGGTTTGTTTTCCTTCACTGCTGTTAGGTTGGTCGTCTAGAAAATGCAATTGGCTGGTATCACAGTCACCCCGGCTATGGCTGCTGGCTCTCTGGGATCGACGTCAGTACCCAGATGCTTAATCAGCAATTTCAAGAACCCTTTGTAGCAGTGGTTGTAAGTACTGGCTGATAGTTGATAAAACTGCATAGCAAATTGTGTTGAGGGGGGAATAATTTTTAGATTTCTGTCCGTTAACATTCTAGTAGTGTGTATTTTTGCATGATGGAAGTGTTTTATTGGTGTTGGTATTTTAAATTGGTGTTGGTATTTTAAATTGGTGTTGCTCCTTTTGCTTTGCTGGCCGCATACTGGTCAAACCAGGAGTATTGCTTACCGAGGCTGTTTTCACTGCGTTGTTCCAGGTATGGTAGCTCTGTACAAATCCATACATTACTCTTAACTTAAAGTCCTACTTGGTACTTTTGCAGAAAAATGTATTGAGCAATCCATATTCAACCTCCTGCAGCAGAACAAAATTCTGTTTCTTTTGTTCTCTTTGTTGCTTCTTCTGTCGAAGTAGAGCAAAGCGTGTTCACGGAGTTCCGTTACTTTGCATCTAAAATGCCTTTTAAATTAAATCGAAGGCATAGTACAAG